CCCCAAAGCATCATCATTAAAGGCTTGCCAAAGCATCCCAACAGTCTCGGCTGCAGTTTTCCCTAACAGAAAGCAAAATTTCACGCACACTCTTTGTTCCTTCTGGTCGGCCATCTCACTAATCGCCAAAGGGTTGAGACAGGAACGCACACAACAGAGCACCACAGACAAACCGCTTAACTCAGACTGACGCCAGCTCACTAACAGTCGCAGGAGACCCCCAGCTAACCACCTAGCAGCACAACTCGTAACTACAAAGCATACGCGCAACAGGTCGTTTCCGGTTATTTTTGGGTCCCCCTTCGTATATGCATTATACAAATATTAGGCAGGATATATTTAAAAGTATAATTACTTTTTTTATATATATAATGTTGTGGACCAAAAATGAATTGGATTGATAAGTTCTGGTAGGAATTATTACTATAAAATTCCTGGTAGGTAAGGTCTCTGAAGTGTTTGGATCATGCATTGAGGACTGCCCTTAATCAGAGATTAACAGAGTGAAGATCTTGTAATTACTCGTGTTTCAATGGCTGAACTTGTAACATTGTCTTGTATATATTATGTTTTTCTTCTTACAAGCATGTATTTTTTATTATGTCATGAACAGATCCCACAGTCAAATGAAGGAAAAGACTGGTTCTGGTATGTGGACAAGACAGTAAGCCTGGAACAGCTTGAGCAGCTAACTGCAGAGTTTCTTGTTATCTTTGACAAATGCCCCACCAAATTGAAGCGCAAGATCATGAGTATCAGTGCCAGTCAGAATACCACTCTCCCTCCTGCCATCTCTGGGAGTCTCTTTGTAAGTAACCTTCTGGATCATCATATGTCTTTGTTGGGAGGCCTTATGTGTAAACATGGATGTAATAATGCAGCGTACATCTGTGGGATGCTGTCACCCAGCAATAATGGATTATACATGCATTCGTTGGCTGGCCATATCATTACTTGATGTGGTTAAAATCATTGTTTCGTCCAGCAGAGACCTGGGTCTAACCCAGAGTAGTCCGTGCAGGATTTTTGGTTTACAGATTGGTACTGAGGCAGGTTTTCCCCTGGCAGTTATCATTGCAGTAATGACCATATCCATTTTTTTCTTAGGGACTGATAAAGTAGGCCCATTTGAGGCCACAGTACCAAGGAACTCAGTCTTACTCCACTGCTACAGCTACAGTCTCCAGCACATTAACTGTAGGTGCTGGAAATGTGAGTTCAGAAGTGGGCATTGTTTCAGGATATGGAGCCTCGAAAAATTCAGCCGCCAGATGGCAATCAGGATGGGCCAATATTTCATCCTGGAGCGCCTTCAGGCAGTGGCCGTCCCCTGTCACACATGCCAGCAGATACCTCATCCAAGCCTACAGCTGATGGTGAAGCTTTCAAGAAACTACACCAGATGCCATCTGTACCTGGGGGCATAGGATCATCACAGCAACCTCCCCAGGCACCGCTACGTGTTGAATACCGTGACTACAAGGAGAAGAAGGAACGGGAACGGCTGGCACAGCAAACAGGAGTGTCTAGGTGTGTTAATATATTATTTACAATTTTGTGTTGTACACAGAGGTGCTGGAATGCCAGTTGTATCACAGCAATGATGTGACAAGTGTTGGAATATGAACCCTTATTAAAATTAAATTCCGGACTAATTATCATTTGCCAGTCATAGTACAAATTTAAACCCAATTCAAGTTTCAAAAATATTTTTATAGATTAGCCTTTTAATATAATTATCATTTGCATGGATTAACGTGTTAATAAATTGTTTGATAGTTTTAAAATTCAGTGATACAGTTGTTTTCTTACTAGATTTGCTTTGATTTAAGACTTCCCCTAAATAAGACTTGTGTCCAACACAATCTGAAGATGATTTCTTGAAACAGTGTATTCGGTTGGTGTTCAAGAAGCTGCTCAAAATAACCCCCTCCCCCCAAATGAAGTTGAAGGCGAAATTGTTTATTTCATATGAAATTAAACTTAGAAACCATGCTTAGTAAGGCCTCCAAGTATTGATCATGTAAGAAGTGTTGTTATCAAATACCGTTTTGTGTATGTGTGTGTGTGTGGGGGGGGGCGATAATTCTCATGTTTCTTTGAATTTTATACTGTCACTTGAATCAGCCAGTTATGATTAATGTTTAAATTGTATATACATTCCTAATTTGTAACTGTATGTTTATATTTATATCTGATGTAGAAAAGTAAGATTAAGGGCCATGGGGATCCATTGCCCTGACCACGTGACCCCCTCTATCTGCAAAAGTTGGCACTAACTTCGCCAACAAGCGGTGGTCACTCGGGCAGTATAGTGCACTTGTGGACTATAGGCCACAGAATTTTTTTCTTTATGTTTGTATTTATAATACAGTTGACCCCTATTTAATATTTCTCTATGGGAAAACTTTATTCAGGCAGAAAGCATAAAAACAATACAGGAAGTGTAATGCTGTGATAATTATGAGGGAGCAGGAAGTTGATTAGTAAATGAGGAAGAAGAAGTAGGTCCAGGATCAGTTCACTGTGCATTATTTTGCACCGCGCCCTTCTTCTTCCTCTCCACAGATTACTATTATATTATTATCATTACGAAGAGGAAGGGCACAGCGCAATCGTTACTGGCCCTATTGTTGATTCCCACGCTCCCCTAGATGGAGATGGGGTATCCAAGCTAGGAGGAGGAAGCTACACTCAGTTCGTTGGCTTAGATAAAACCAGATACAACTTAATAACAAAATATAACAATACATAAATAACAAGAAGACACATTTGACCAAGAAACAAAGACAAGCTCATTTAGGCTAACAANCGAAACCAATATTTTCCACCACAAACCTGCTGGCTAGTAAACAACCTTCCAAGTCGACTTGGTCTAAACGACTGCACTGCACAAGTCTCCCCTTCACAAGAGGGTACCTGGGACCACGTGACTGACGTCAGGATACCGCATAGTGGGGATGGAATCCGTCACAGGAAAGATGATGACATCATCGTGAGCGAGCTAAAGCTTAGCACGGCTCAATTTACTACATCCTTCTCATATCCATATTATCACTTCTCAGAACTACAGCAGGCTTCACAAAGTGCATCCTCCTTTTGTGTTATACCCTTTCTCAGTAAAAGTATACTTACCAGTATATAGCATAGAAACATTATTATACTACTAATAAGTATAGAATGTTATGAGAACTTGATTATAGCTAACAAAATCATCAGCATCATTATTTATTTATTTATTTATTTTATTTTTTATTTTTTATTTTTTTTTTTTTTTACATTTCATGTATGGAGAAGCCGTGCAAAAAAGTGGAGTTTTTTTTTCTCATGATCATCATAGGTGGTTGAAAGCTGTCTGCAACATTTTTCCATGACGTCTTGCACTAACTATGAGCAGTTTTGCTTTCAAAGACATTTCTAGTTGGTGGGTAGAGTCACTGCTAACCTACCCTCTGTGCCTTTCCCTTGTCTATAAGAAGAATTTGCACATTCCAGAATCTGTAAGTAGCTCACCATCTTTAAGTTGTAGCCAGTTAGAGAAGCCACATCATGTAATGTCTTCTGAACTTCATTGCATGTTCTTTCGCTTGGCTGGTGAACAGGGTTGATAACTTTTCTATTTTTGTGCTTCGTGAAGTTCAGTGTTCAGCCTTAATTATGACAAAGAAAGGAGGTGCTGTAAAACTGGAAATAATACATTATTTTTAATCATAAACTGCCCCAAAGAGCAAAATGGGAAGTCAATATGGATTTGCTTCTCTGAATATGTTCGTTGTTCAGAAGATCAAAGAGAACATTTAATTAGGTGTTCTGTGTGATGGAAAACCAGTGATATGCAGAGAGTGAGGGATTCTGCCAGGAGAGATCAACTGATGTACTGGTTAATAAAAAGTGATCAAAATAAAAGATAATCAGTTTATAGCAAACTTCAATATAAAGAACTTCCAGATTTCTAAAGGGCAGCTTTACTGTTTCAATACAAGCAAAACCATTTATAAGCACAAAGTGTCAGGCAACTCGGCTGCAGTAGACAGATGTGTTGTTCAAGCTCTATGGCTGTATTTAATCCACATTTATTGATGACTGAACTTCATCCAATATTCTCGTTATTGTTAAACAGTGAAGTACTGGAATGTTCTAGAACACTCTTACCTTATGACTTCATACAAATAAGGGACATGGATCCTTCTTGACAGATAAGATGGGAAGAATACATCCTTCCAGTAATACTCAGAAGGTGCTTGATGCATCTTTTGTTCTAGATGTCCTTTATATTCTTAGGAAGTACATCGTAGACTTGCAGTGCACAGTTCCATCAGCTTTATTTCTCCTGCCATCTGTTTGGTAGACCCAAAACTTAACAGAAGATAGTCACAGAAGTGTAGAGAGAAAATATGATGCCCTTGTTCTTTTCCATTCATGATCCTGACAGAATAGACTGTAACAAAATTGCATAAGGTAGGAATTGGGCATTCTAAAGATTAATAATAACAGATGTTAGTGGAAGGCTCAAGAAAACCATAATCCCAGTTTCATTTTTATAACATTCCAAGTTGCTGTTCGCTTTGGTGTACATCACAGCAGCAGCGTGAGTATAGTATATGAGGTGAGTGCAAGTAGTGTCTGTAGAGTCATGGTAAAATGTGACGAAAAAGAATCGGAACAGAGCAGGAGACATAAATAAAAATTAAAGAAGCTGGAGCCATGAAGTGCAGAAACAATTCGAGAAACAATACAATAGTACACAAATTTTCTTTTGACCTATCTTATTAGGTGGTGATAAATTTCTTTATATTTGTTATGACAGAATACATATTTTATTGCATAATTTACAAACACTCATTTTTCAACGCCAAGTTTTGAAAGAAATGCCTTTGTATATCACACATTCTATTCTTATGAAAGGTTTTACCAATGAAAACTTTGTCACCAGAGTCTAGAAAGGATTACAGCAGAAATAAAATCTGGGCTTGTGAAGCAAGGAATATGATGTATTTGTTATAGTTCAGCAAAAATAGTTGTTTGTTTGTTACAAGTCACATGATTTGTGTGTCGACCTTGCAGATGTGGCAACCTAATGGGAGAGATGCTCTGCGCTGCCAAATAAACATGTGGAGCATGTCATGTGTACTGAGATTAAAAAACTAGTCTGTATATTCAATGATTGAATGTGTGCTTTGTTGGACTCGCCTGTTGCGTGACATCACATCCTAACAGGAGGGGTGTTTACTGAGCGTTGCATAATGATGGGAGGAGTGGGGGTATGTGACGTCACTAGTGGAAACGCAGAGTTCACGTGACTCCTACTTTCTGTTGCGCCATCCACGTTACACTTCTCCCTTCTAAAGGTTGTTTGTCCTGGTTCCTTTTCTTTCCATGCTGTGCTTGCTGCGTCTTCTTTTGGTTAGGCTACTCCTCTTGCAGTGACTATTCTCCGGCTGTTACATCCACTCCCTTCTTAAGATTGTTTGTCCCGAACAATTCCATGGTCCAGGCTGGTTGTTAGGTTTCTGAACAATATTCTTTTTTACAGGATGAGGTTGTTAGCTTCATTCCCAACCCCCAACCTGGAGGACCAGGGTATCTCTCTTAGTCTGAACTCTACCCTTTGACCTTTCTAGCATGGTTGACCCTACCGGTATATAAACTACCGCCAGCATAGCTCTCTGTGTCACAGAGTCATGCAGGCCCCACCACCATGACATGACCATGAAGACACCTCTGGGGCGAATTGCAGCATGAACTGCTGCAAAAAAGAAAGCAACTTCTTTCAGATACTTTTTGGTATTTTCATTTTGAGGGAGTGAATGTCATCAGCAGGGACCTAAGTGGGTACTTAAATTCTGATTAAGATTCAGATTAGTTGGCCTATGTTTTGTGACCTTTGACAATGTCAGAAGCTGGGTGAGAGTACCCTTCTCAATCAGTCATTACACTTGTTTTTGTTGCTTTGTGTGTGTCGGGTTCTGGAGTAAACCTGATATCAGATCTCATGATTATGTAAGATGAACAGAACATTTGCCAAATTAATGTCTGATTGTTCCTTTGTGCCTGTATGTTAAGCTGAGAGATGTTCTATTGAGTTCTGAAAACAGGAAAGCTGTACCGCAAATTGGAACAGTGTCCTGCAAATTGTGTGTATTCTCCAAAGTTATATTTAAGAGGCTTGTTCTTGTTCCACCCACTTTTGAAGCCTTACACTGTTATACTGTGAAAGTATGACAGGTAGTCAGCAAGCCATTCTTGATCAGCTTTACTGTGAAGAAAATTTAATTGGGAGTCATGCAGCCAGATCAGTTTGCCTGTACTAATACAACACCATGTCCCCAAACTTTCCTAGTGACGGCCATATTTGAAACACTTAAATGAAAATATTTCATTTTAAAATTATATGAACCAGATGGCAATATCTTCTGTGGTAGACATTTTTTAAAAATTGTACACCTGATGTTTTGCTTACAAATTTTGGAAAAAAGTGTGTGAATTATGGGATGAAATGTATTTGTATGAGTTCATAGTCATTTTCCTTTGCAACTGATGCTTCCTGTTTTCTGACCATGATTTTGCGTTGACTTTACAGGGATGGACATCATGGGGCAACTCACATCAATAAGAGTATCCCAGGAAGTGCCAACAAGCATGGGACTGTACCTTCTGGGAGTTCAGCAATGGTTGGCAAGCCTGGAATACCTCACCATGATCACAAGCATCCCCGCCCTATGGCCCCTGGGACAGTGCGAGGCCCACAGGCTCGTGATGCAGTTCGGCGGGAACAAGCATATGCCCGTGAGGCTGCTAAAAGAGACAGCAGTAACCAGCGTGGTGAACACATATTTACTCCTCCTGTACGACACCATGAGCCCAAAGAACCTTTGTTACAAACCCCAGGTGAACATGTTTCATCCCAGCACCATGGACTGCCACTGGACCCTGCCGTAGGTGTGGCCAATCATTTAGGTAGTGGTTTGAATAGTGGTGTTAATTGTAATGTTAGTTGTAGGAAGGACAGTCAGGGCCTTGAGTGGACAGGTGGTGAGAAAGTAAGTGAAGTGGACAGTAGGCATGCTGTCGACAAATCAAGTGTGCCAGTTGGCTTGAGGAATGCAGAGAACAGACATTTAGTACCTCTGCATACAGATTCTAGTTCAAAACGAAACCAGCAGCAGGGATTTGAATCCACAAGTAGGATTGGCCACCAGGGAAGTGCAACAAGCTGTAGTGACATTCGTACTGTGAAGGATGATGTGTCCTCAAAAATACCATCAGACACTAGTGATTCTCAGAAGCAGCTGTTTAATCATAACAAGCATGGTACTGGTAGTGACAGGCTTGAACATGGCCGGCATCGCAAGTCTGCTGTTAGTGAACAGTTTACCTCAAGACAACCTCTGCCATCTGCAGAAGGTGTTGTCGAACGAAAGCCGAATATTTCTGAAATAGTTGACCGGAAGCCAAACGTTTTGGATCTTGTGGATCGCAAACCAAATATCAGTGACTGTGTGGATCGCAAGCCTAATGTTCTGGATGGGTTAGATCGGAAGCAAAATATGGCTGAGCTTCACTCTTCATTTGGTGAAAGTAGGCATGAAACTTGCAACAGAAGACCTGTGATTTCAGATGTTAAACACCAGCCAGCCCAACCATGCCAGAGCATGAAATGGGAACCCAGAGCAGATATAAATACTGTGAAGAAAGAGGATGGCATGGACATTGGTATTGGGGTAGGAGGGTCATCAGCACGACCAGCACCTCCACTTCCACTCCCAACACAACAGCAGCCAACGCCACATTCGTCAACACAACCAGCACTGTTGCCAAATGCTGCAGCATTGCCATCCCATCACCATCCTCATGAGAGGCAGAAATCTCGTCCCAAATCTCCTTCTCAAGTCCATGATAAACCTCCAGCTCTGCATCAGCAACATGCTCGGTCTGCTGTTCCTGCTCGAGCAAAATCTCCAGTTTCTGCTGCCATTCCTGTTCCCTCCAGTGTTTGCAAAAGGTCGGAATCCCCACATCATGGAAGAACCAAGTCTTCTGCAGTCTCTCTCACAAATATGTCAACGCCTTCTCGAAATGGCACAGCAGTTCCTGAAATAAAACCCGTAGTGGAAGCACGAAGCAGACGGCCTGAAGCCCATGCAGCGAAGTCAGTGTTGGCAGTGGACCAACAGTTAGTTACAGTCAGGTCCGAGACAGAGATGTTGTCACAGACTCCTTCAAATGTTTCCAATGGAAGTCAGAAGAGTGGAACTGTTGCATCCCTTCCCAATGTACCTGAAAAAACTGGAACTGCTGTCCTGCGAGAATCCCCATATCCTCGATCCAGCAAGTCCAGGCAACGTACTCCCCCAACATCTGGTAATAAGAAGACTCCTGCTTCACTACCTGAAATACAAACAACATCTGTATCTTCTTTCGGCTCACCACCACCTCCAACTCCCACCACACCTGGTAATGCAAGCAAGACTCAGGGATCCCTTAGGGCTACTAGGCGGCACCGAACAAGCAGTTCAAGCTCTGAACCTGAGCTTGTTCCTGTGGTAAAAAAATTAGATGAGATAGCAGGCTATGAGAACATCATTCGTGACTCAAAAATGGGCATAAAATTACCCAATAGAGTCCCAGATATTATTCCACCAATACGAGATCGCAACAAGAAAGATGAGACAAATGTTGCTACTTCTGCCACTGGAAATAATCACAGCAGCAGTAGTGTAATGTCATCAGTTGCCAAAGAATTGAAAACCCCAGATCTTATCCGACCATTTGCCACTAAAGTGTCAGATTCAGTGTCACAGACAGCCAAATCAGCAAGTATTCCAGATGATCTCGGTGCAGTGGCATTTCCAGATTCAGACTCAACAAATGGCACATTTGTCCGAACCCAAATCCCAGCCCCTCCCATAGTTCCTGAAGAAGCACTTGGCAGTGCTGACATCCAGAGTGTGGGAATTATCGACATCTCCACAATGGAGGAACAGATCCAGCCACTGGAGAATGTAGTATCCTCTGCTTGCAGCTCCATTTTAATGTCAGAGCATCACCATAAAAGCGAAAAGAAGAAGAAAAAGAAGGAACATAAAGAACACAAACATAAAGAGAGAGACAAGAATCGAGAAGAAAGGAGACACAGGCACAAACACAAGGACAAAGATAAAGATCGTCACAAGGGAGAGAAAGCTGAAAGCTCAGCCCCCATCAAAATTACTATACCTAAAGATAAAATCAACTTGAGCTCAACGTTAGAGCCTGTGGCAGGAACAGGGCTGAAGATTAAAATTCAGAAAGATAGACTGAAAGGAGGTAGTGACTCCACAGGCAGCAGTCCACAATCTGTTCCAAGTGGAGGACTGAAAATCAAGATCAGTAAAGAGGTGATTGGGAACTTCAATAATAGCCATACAGGCCCACCTGGTTGTAGTAATGAGGCTCCATCATCCTCCAGGAAACGTGATCGGAGCATACCTCAGTCATCTGAGTCAGTACCACCTCCAGGGCCTCCTGCTAAGATAATGCGGCCCAACACTTCATCAGGGGAGGAGCGACGGGGTGGCAACAGCTTCAGTAATTATGGCAGGCACAATGGTGTGGAGCACCATCGCAGAGGCATGCACTACTCTACACCTGGTGGCAAGGTACGTGGTGGCAATGAAGTTCCCAGAGGAAATTGCTATATGGCCCCAAATCTTTCCATGCAGCAGCTCCATCTCTACCAACCATACCCTCCCTACTACCAAGCCTTCCCTCCACCCCCTCAAGTTGTTCCACAGCCGTATGTGTATGGCTATTATCCACCTCCAGCTACATACATGTACCATCCTCCCTTACCTGCTGGTCCTGCACCTGATGTAACACAAATTCATGAACCTCCTCCTCTCCCTGAAGGGCCCCCTCCTGATAATCCTCCACCTCCTCCACCAGAGTAGTCTGCAAGGGGTGCATTGGTCCCTTCCATATATAACCAGTTGATGATATACAGGCTGGTAGCCATTAATATCTTGTTAATCTTTCTTCTCTGGTGTATTACGGGGACTGAAATAGTCATCGTGATGGTTCAGCACTTTGAAAACAGAAAATATACAAAGCATTTATTTTTCCTATATTCAAATTTTGGATGTAAATAATATATTGCATAATTGACCTATCTGTAAATAGGATTTCCAGAATTTATTTTTTTGTTATGTATTTGGTTAAAAGTGAGGAATGTTGTTATTAGTAATAATTTTTTATACATGTGTGGAGGGCACAGTCTGTTTTAGTTTAGAACTGGGGAAGTTTTATTTGAAGGTTATGATGCACCAAATTGAGAAGGAGAGAGAAGTTTCCTTGTCATCTGTGCCATAGAACTGCATGCATGCTTTGCATGGTCTATGTTTGTGTAAGAGTGTCTTACATTGTGGCACCTGCATAAATTTTGCGTGTAAATGAGGAGGGACTGCTGCATGGGAAGTCTCCAGTATGCCAGATTGCAAATAGTTTGTTGAGTGATGTCACAACATTGAGATCATATATTTATTTTTAAGAAAATCCTTTGATTTTCGTGATTTGAGAACTTTGAGTACAGAGTATTACAGAGGCTCTTCGGAAAGTAACTTCTGGTGAGCTGTTAACAAGACAAGCAGTGAGAAAGAAATGTATTATACAAAAAATACATACACACTTAAACTCCTTCCCAACCTTTTCACTGCTGGAATTGAGGCACTTGTCATATTGGGGAATGAGTTTTTGTATGCCTGTGTCAAAGAAGCCTGCCTCCTGTCAGCTCAGCCATATTTTGTATTGCGAAACACTGAAGAAACTATGTAGGTACATTTAGAACAAAAAGTGTGGAATGCTGACATCCAGTGCATATCTGCACACAGCTGCTTGCACTCAAACACTGCTGGAGCATTTCAACTGGGAGTTGTTTGACCACCCTTCTTACAGCCCTTCTCTTGCACTGAGCAGCTGCCACCTGTTTACTTTCCTGAAAACTGGTTGGGATCACAGCGCTTCAGCAGTACTGAGGAGTTGATGGGAGGTGTCAAAATGTGGCTTGAGCTCACAAATGGCATGACTTCTTCAGCATAGCGCTACAAAAACTTATTCCCCGATATGACAAGTGCTGCAGTTTCACCAGTGACTATGTTGAGAAGTAGCTTAACTAGGTACGTATTTTTTTGTATATAATATTTTTTTCTCGTTCCTTGTTTCGTTAAGGGTTCACTGGAGGTTACTTTTCGAATAGCCATCATATCTGAATTCAGTTCCAACTTCCATTTCTGGGTGCAGTTTTGAAATAATACATATTCCTGTAATGTTTATAGAAGGAACATGATTTGTCTCCATCAGGATATGCTGTGACATGTCTTTAACATGCATACATGTTGCTACTTGTTTAATGGTATTTCTTTGTTCCCCACACTGCTTTCCACTATCTATGTGAAATTCACAAATCTTGCATCTGTTTATCCTTTTAAGGCTTCCCATGGAGATCTGAAGAGTGGAACTGTTGCATCCACCCCAAATTATCCTGACAGAACATGCACTTGTACATGTCTGGAATCTCCTGACCCCCATTCCAGCAAGTCCATGCAGTGTACTCCTTCAGGAAATAGGAAGGTTCCTGCTCCAGTACCTCTTTCTCCATTGTATTACTAACACCACCTGCAACTCCTACCACATCCAGTAAGCCAGGAAAGTCAGAGATACTATGAAATAGTGAGAAATAAATTCAGTGCATGAGAACACCTTTCACAACTCAAAAATGGGCATGAAATTTCCTGTTAGATTCCCATATGTCATTCCACAAGCACACTGTAAGAAGAAAAATGAAATAATTTTTGTTGCCTCTGATATTGGCACGAGTCACAACAGCAATATGAGTATGATTTCATCATTTGCCGAACAATTGAAAACCCCAGATTGTTTCTAACCTTCTGCCATTAAAATGTCAGTTGCACTGTCAAAGACCACCAAATCATCAAGTTTTCCAGATGATTTTGGTGCAATGACATTGCCAAATTCAGACTCAACAAATGGCACATTCATCTGAATCCAGATCCCAGCCCCTCCCATGGCTCCTGAAGAAGCTCTTGGCAGTGCTGACATTGAGAGTGTGGGAATTATTGACATCTCCACAATGGAGGAACAGATCCAGCAACTGGAGAATGTAGTATCCTCTGCGTGCAGCTCCATTTTAATGTCAGAGCATCACCATAAGAGTGAAAAGAAGAAGAAGGAACATAAAGAACAAAAAACAGAGAGACAGGATTGAAAAACAGAGGAAACAGAGACACAACACAAGAAAAAGGATAAAGAATATCAGGAGGAATAGAAAGCTGAAAGCTCAGTCCCCATCAAGACCTGGAGCTTAGCATTAAACTGGTGGGAAGAACAGGGCCGAAAATGAAGATTTGAAAGAGACTCAGGAGGTAGTGATTCCATAAGCAGCAGTCCATAATCAACCCACATAAGGAGACAGATAAAGGCTGTCACTGGAGAGAGAAAGCTGAGAGTGTGGCCCCCCTCAAGATTAACATAAGAAAAGGTAAAGCTGTCCCTGTAACAGGGTTGTGAGACATCGAGGCTCCCACATTATACTGAAAAATAAAATCAGCTGGAGCTCAACATTAGAGCTGATGGCAAGAACAGGACTGAAAATGAAGATATGGAAAGACAAGAGTCAAAGGGGGTGCCATCTCCACAGCCAGCAAACCACATTCAGTCCCAAGCAGAGAACTCAGAATCATGACCAGTAAAGAAGTGACTGGCAGTTTCAATAACATCATCTCAGGCCCACCTGGTTGTAGTAGTGACACTCCCTCATCCACCAGACAGTGGGATGTCAGCGGTCTTCAGTCATCTGAATTGGTGCTGACTCCAGGACCTCCTGATAAGACAGCAGGGCTAAACACTTCGTCAGGGGAGGAGCTTTGCAATAATCGCACTAATCAGTCATGTGGGGCACAGTCACAGGTGCTTGCTGTACTCTACATGTGGCAGCAAGGTATGTGATGGCAGGAGAAGGCTCCTGGGAGATTATTAATGACCCAAACTCTTCCATTTCCACCAGCCCATACCCTCCCTCTACCAAGCCCTTCTCCCACTGCCTCCACAAATTTTTCCATAGCCATACATGTAGGGCTACTAACTGCTTCCAACAGCTGTGCCATAGGTCAAGCGGTTAGTCACTGGCTTCCCACTGTGGCGGCCCGGGTTTGATCCCGGGTATGGTCAAGTGGGATTTGTGGTGGACAACGTGGTGCTGGGGCGAGTTTTCTCCGAGTACTTCGGTTTCCCCTGCCAATCTTCGTTCCACCAAATTCTCCATCATCATAATCACCTGGGGCAGGCTATAACAGGCCAATCAGTGGTCCCCTGCCAAGTGGACCCAGTTGGACTGCACCCCCCACTAAGCCAATTAAAAAAAATAACTTCTTCCAACCACCTCCCTTACCAACCATTCATGCACCTGATGTACCACACCCTCATGAACCTCCTCCCCTCCCTGAAGGGCCCCCTTCTGATAATTCTGTTCCACCAGAGTAGTCTGGGAGGGGTGCAGTGGGCCCTTGCTTATATAACCTCTTGATGATATTGCAGGCTGGTAGCCATTTATCTCTTGTGAATCTTTCTTCTCCAGTGTATTAGAAGAACTGAAATAACCCTATCATGATTGTTCAGCACTTTGAAATCAGGAAATATGCATTTATTTTCCTTTACTCAAATTTTGGATGTAAATATGAGTGATATAAAAAAAATAACCTGATTGTAAATAGGATTTGTAGAATTTATATTTTTATTGTGTGTTTCTTGGTTGAAAGAGAAGAATGTTGTTGCTAGTAATAATTTTTATACTTATGTGGAGGGTACAGCCTGTTTTAGTTCAGAACTAGGGCAGTTTAATTTTGAGGTCATGGATGTTCCAGGTTGAGAAAGAAAGAAAGAAAGAGAGAGAGAAGTTTCCTTGTTATCTATGCCATAGAACTGCATGATCTGCTTTGCATGACCTGTGTATATGTATGAGTGTCTGACACTGAAGCACACAACTGTGTGGGGAGTGCTGCATGGGAGAGAGAAGCTCCAGGATGCCAGACTGCAGTTAGTTTGTTGAGTAATGTCACAGCACTGAGAGCAAATATTTTTTCCTGATCACAAAAATTTGAATTCAGTTCCAACTTCCATTTCTGCATACAATTAGGAAATAATACATATTCCTGTAACATTACAGAAGGGGCATGTAATGTCAATATCAGGAGGTGCTGTGACATATGTTCAACATGTATACATATCACTGTTTGTTTAACAGACTCACATTGTTTTCCATACTGCTTTCCTTTGTTTCAAAGTTCATTTATCTTCAGCCATCTATTCACAGTAGTGTGTTACTACCTACAGTAGGATATGAACAGAAGCTAATCCTGTGATGGCTCTATTGCGCACAAACAGTTTCTTTATTCAGTCAGAAAGTTTATAGCATGCAACATATGGAGAATATCACTGAGAACAACACAGTGGATTCAGTGTCAGAAGTGGAATTGCTGTTGGTTTTTGGATGTGTTTACTTTGTGTCACTCTGTGTTGATTCATGTTTTTCTCCAAGTGAGTCCTCAGATTTCTTTCCATTTCCTAAACAAGACATGGGGGCAGTCGA